ACGCTATAATCTATTTGATGTTTGGCCTTCACAACGCTATAATCTATTTAATGTAGGGCCTTCACAACGCTATAATCTAATTGATGTAGGGCCTTCACAACGCTATAATCTTTTTGATGTAGGGCCTTCACAACGCTATAATCTATTTGATGTTTGGCCTTCACAACGCTATAATCTATTTGATGTAGGGCCTTCACAACGCTATAATCTATTTGATGTAGGGCCTTCACAACGCTATAATCTATTTAATGTAGGGCCTTCACAACGCTATAATCTATTTGATGTAGGGCCTTCACAACGCTATAATCTATTTGATGTAGGGCCTTCACAACGCTATAATCTATTTGATGTAGGGCCTCCACGACGCTTTAATCTTGTAATCAGTAAGACCCCGGTACTCTAAAGACCAGGTGAAAAAAATAAAACTATATTACTTGAATTTGTTCTTTACAATTAGGTTGCTTATGAAATAGTTCAAAAGAGATTTTAATTTTTCAGAATCTAGAAGGCTGGTGGTCAGTCAGCTATTCAGTGGCGGAGCATGTTATGCAGCATATATATATATATATATATATATATATATATATATATATATATATATATATATATATATATATATATATATATATATCCTAATTTATAAAAGCCCATGTGCGCACTTCTCTCTCTCTCTCTCTCTCTCTCTCTCTCTCTTTCTGTGTCCGCAAAATATTTTCGCCGGATATCACATCAGAACCTGCAGCGATATATGGAGAACTTGATACGGACTTTGGTTGAAAATAATATGGTAGATGTTTTAAATGTATAACCAACATTTTATTTAAAGAAGAAAAATAAAAAATAAAGGCGTATTCGAATTTAGAAAAACAATGTTAATTATGCAACCGGAAAAATGTTTATAGTTGGGACAAGAACGCATTTAACAATGACGTAGCTTAATGTTTATACTAAGAAAAAGCACGAAACTAATGACGTCATCTTCCGTGTTTAGAATAAAATAAAGAAATGAACTATTTCATTCAAATAGGATTTAGAGCTACGTACGCTATGAAATGTATGCAATAAAATTTTTTCCCGGTCTAAACTTAAAAAAATTACTTTATCTATTTGGATTCTAGATCTAGATATAGATATTGTAGATCTAGACTAGATCTACGCAAAAACTAGACGTAGACGCTAAGATGCTAAGATTTAGATTTGGACTATCTACTCTAGAATCTATTCCAATAATTAATTTATACATTAAACTATTTCAGGCCGTAATGATTTTATTAAAATCTGTATTTAGCTATGGAACTGGCTAATTTGGGATCAAAATTTAATTTGAAAGAATAGGCCTATTCGCGTAAGTTACATTTCTTATTACTACATCTTTTATTTTTCGCATCTCATAAGGTGCCTAAAAAGCTAAGATGATAGTGAACTTGATACCATGAGGGTGGAACGGGTTCGAGACACACCAAGCCAAACTTAATTTTTTTTATATGTGAATCATCCGTTTTTGAATATAAAGAAAGGAACTACTTCATTTAAATTTGATTTAGATATAGATCTACTCATCAAGACGTACGCTATGAAATATATACAATTTTATCGGTCAAACTAATCTATATATATAATTATATAATTCTCTTCTGGGAGACGCCAGAAAACAAGCTGTAAGCGCGCTCCCTATCACTCCAGCCCTACATGGTCTGGTGAGCTGTGGCTCACGCTAAATGTTTACAATCAAAGAACGGGTTTAGTGGCGGCTATCAGGGGCAGATGATTTAGTTTGAAACTATTTTAAACTTAATGGAGGTAACTAAGAGGAGGCTGCTTTAACGGGGGGGGGGGGGGGTAGAGTAGGGGTTGGGGGAAATGAGGGTGGGGGTAGTATCGTTCTTAACGACCTACTGATAGTGTTTTAAAGCAAATATTTTCATTGGCAGCATTGGTACTGTCGAATTCACAAATTATGAATTACTGAAAAGTAGAAAATAAAAAAAAATCATAAAAAACGTTTTAATAACAAGTTTTTATGTAATAATGCACTAAAAAGTAGAAAATAAATTATAGACTACTATTTAAATAACTATAAAGAAAAGCGTGGGTCACTTTAGAATCTATTGGATACCTTTACTAATGTTAAGGAAGACACCCACGCTTTTCTTTATAGTTATTTAAATAGTAGTCTATAATTTATTGTCTACTTTTTAGTGCATTATTACATAAAAGTTTGTTATTAAAACGTTTTTTATGAATATTTTTTCATTACTTTACGTGTTTTATTTACAATAGAGTTACATGACTAAAAACCATTGCGCGCCGACTGAACGTGATGGCGCAGCTATTGAACGTGATGACGCGTGTGGTGTAGTTGGATAGACATGCCTACTAATTCGGTCCAAATTTTAATTAATTAATAAAAAATTAATTAGGCATCCAATTAAGTCAAATTTAGTTTCAGATTGCATTGTCTTCATGTCTTGACCCACGTGCCAACTGTGAATCGTATCGGTCAAGTAGAACTTTCCGAATTTTCACTCCGGCGTTTCGATCTAGACAGACAGACTGACGACTGACGACTGACGACAGAGGAAGTGAGTTAAATAAAAGCTTGTAAAAACGTTTTAAAAACAAGCTTTTATGTAATGATGCACTAAAAAGTAGAAAATAAATTATACACTACTATTTAAATTACTATAAAGAAAAGCGTTGGTCACTTTAGTACTTTAGTACCTATTGGATACCTTTACTAATATTTGAGAAGAGACCCACGTTAAACTATCCAGAGTACATACAGACCGACAGGATATATGTTACACACCTTGAGTGCAATTGTGTCCATAAAAACCAAGTTGACAACCATACAGACATGAGCCGTTATGTTGATGGCACTGGCCCGGCGACTGGCAGTTATGGCTACACTCTGCAAGATAAAAGTCTATTGATTATAACTAGGGCGGGGTAAAATGGAGTACATTGTTATGTGTTGAAGATAACAAGATAAAAGTCTATAGAGCGTGGCGAGGGGTGGGGTATAAGAAAGTTAAAGTAGCGTACGCAGGGATGGATTTTAAGGATAGTTACGCCTTTTTAAAAGATTAATAACATAAAACTGAAAACATGTTTGGCAACACAACATAAAATTGAAAACATGTTTGGCAACACAACATAAAATTGAAAACATGTTTGGCAACACAACATAAAATTGAAAACATGTTTGGCAACACAACATAAAATTGAAAACATGTTTGGCAACACAACATGTTTGTGTTTCTGTTCCCGTTTAATTTTGCATTATTTTTTTCTGTTTGCATTTAGGTTTACGTTACATTTTTGTTTTCGTTTGTTCATGTTCATATGTTCATGTTCATGTTCATGTTCATGTTCATGTTCATGTTCATGTTCATGTTCATGTTCATGTTCATGTTCATGTTCATGTTCATGTTCATGTTCATGTTCATGTTCATGTTCATGTTCATGTTCATGTTCATGTTCATGTTCATGTTCATGTTCATGTTCATGTTCATGTTCATGTTCATGTTCATGTTCATGTTCATGTTCATGTTCATGTTCATGTTCATGTTCATGTTCATGTTCATGTTCATGTTCATTTTCTTGATAATTTACATGTTCATATTCAAGTTTATATTTGTATTTATGCGTGCATGTATATATATATATATATATATATATATATATATATATATATATATATATATATATATATATATATATATATACTATTCATTCGGATATTTATTCAGCGCACCGCGATGGGCGAAGTTGCCAGTAGCACATTGGCGTGTATATAGATATTCACGAAAATTAAGCTACGGAAAAAATAAAATCACGAGAGACTTCACATCGATGACCACGTTCTCCAGTACTCCAATATACTCTTTTCAGGATTGACTTAATTTAACACCTGTAATGCTTCCTATAAGCAAGCCGGTGAAAAGTATATGATAGATAAAAACTTAATGGTTTCTCGTCTCATGTTCATTTCCAAGTTGTTGTTTTTTTTATTTATTAATTTGAAATAAATTCCTTTTTATGGCTTTGTCTTTCTTTAGTCTGTATTTTTAAATACTTATTAAGAAACTTTATTGCTTTTTAATTTACTTAGTAAAAAACTATTAAAAGGAGGTTTTGGGCATCCTTATTTAACTATTTAGAAAAGGAAAAAACGTCATAGAATTTGTTGAAAGTGTGCCTTTCTTTCACACTACAGCTCATGTATATTTTCTTTTCGCAATAGTGTGTGTTAGCTGCTGTAGAAAATCACTACTGTAATAGATATTTTAAAAAAAACAACACTATCCAGCTGCACGAAAACGTAAATTTCGTACACAAAACTTATTTTTGACGGATTTCGTAATTAGCCCCCCCCCCCCCAAACACACACTTCTACTATCCACTCATTGAGTGTCTGCCGGCATAATAGTTCCACCACCTGGTGTCAATTATTAAACTTGAAGTGTCTATTTTACCTATTTCAACTTTTCAAAATCTGTTGTGTTTTGATGTTTGGTACATTGTAACAAAGATTGTTTGTATACTTATTGTAGCAAAAATTGTTTGTATACTTATTGTAGCAAAAATTGTTTGTATACTTATGGTAACAAAAAGTGTTTGTATACTTATTGTAACGAAAATTGTATACTTATTGTACACAAACATTGTTTGTATACTTCGAGCAGGATGAAAAACGTGGACTTTGGAGCATTCTATTAAATGCTAAAATTCTTAAGTTTAAAATAATTACAATCTACATACTTCATAATAAATATTTTAGATGAATTATAAAAATGCCTATGCGTATACAGCCTACAGACATTAAATTACATTTAATTAATCCTAAGTTAATTTGCACTCTCTAAATATTTAATACATAAAAGTATTAACAAATATCATGCACTCTTGTGACTCTTTTTCCTGTGACTTTTTTTCCTGTGATTTTTTTTCCTTTGACTTTTTTTTCTATGTTTTTTTCCTGACTTTTTTTCCTACAATCATATGGACACACCTTGAGTGCAATTCTGTCCATAAAAACCAAGTTGACAACCATACAGACATGAGCCGTTATGTTGATGGCACTGGCCCGGCGACTGGCAGTTATGGCTACACTCTGCAAGATAAAAGTCTATTGATTATAACTAGGGCGGGGTTAAATGGAGTACATGGTTATGTGTTGAAGATAACAAGATAAAAGTCTATAGATTATAACTAGTACAATGGCTAGGGTAGGGTAGAATGCAATAGATGTAGCTGTGTTGAAGCCATGCATGTTTTGGTAACTATTGAGGCGTAGTATGGAACAAATGCAATAACAACATAGATACCCGAGAAGACGTTACAGATAGACTAGATTGACCTTGAGTGCAGATATATCCGTAAAATGTGACCTTACTGCCGTGCGTGCATGTTCCGTTAGAATAAAAACATCTCGGTGGGTTTTGGCAGTGCTCTCTGCAATCTATAGAAATAAATAATCTCGTTCTCATTGATCGTGAGATTAATAGAGAGGGAAACATTATAGAATTTGCAATATAAGGCTATGTTATAGTATTATACTAGACAAGAAAGCGTGGTTTTTTGTGTGTTTGTGTTTATTTTTGTTCTGTTCCATAGTTGATACATTTTAAAACATTCCCCTTGACGGAGCACGGGTATGCAACTAGAATATATATATATATATATATATATATATATATATATATATATATATATATATATATATATATATATATATATATATATATATATATATATATATATATATATATATATATATGTATATATATATATATATATGTGTGTGTTGGCTGGTACTCTGTTGTTGGCTGGTTATTTTATTTTTTGTATTTAAGTAAAATGGTTACACGTTTGCTCATCACTCAGGTTAGGGCAAACTCGAATAGTCGATTAGTGCAGGCTATTTTTAGGTATTGAATATTAGGTCATCCTATGTGGATGAGCTTGTTTGTTGTCCTGATTTTACTTATTTTTAAAGTTATGTTTTTGTTAACGTTCCCCACCCCTTCTCACGAGATGGCGTTCGAGTCTCAATGCACGCTGATCTG